TATTCTACACATCTCTTTGTCCCCAAAACGCTGGGGCGACAGAAACAAAGGGCGTAACGGGGAGCGCGCGTCTGGTAATTGCCACTCGCTCACTAGTATCCGATATCCTCGTGCTGTTTTATGAAGAAAAAAGTTTTTTTTTTTAATAATTAGTGGCCAGCTATATATCGATTTTCTTTTACTATAAAAAAGTAGCTCCGTCCGAGAAAAAATAAAAAAATAAAAAGTAATTAGTAGCCTATGTGTTCATCCAGACTATGTTCTACATGTATGTCAAATTTAGAGAGTTCCATACAGCCAAACATCGATCCAAACTTTCGCATTTATAATATTAGTAAGAAATAATTAATCAATAATTTAAATTAATTATCTTTTATACAATAAAATATGCTTACGTCTTTATCCAATTACCTTTAAATCGATCAACAAAAGCTTTGACAAAACACCCCACTAACATAATAGACTTAAGTGCGGGTAACGAGGGTTCCCCATCAAAAAACAATATGCTATAAATTTCACCGGTTAATTGGCGGAAGTTTAGATTCTTTTTTTCCTCTAAGAGTCAACAGTTTTTTCGGTTGACAGAACATCATTGCGAGGGTGGGTTTTTATTCTCTATGGTACTTGTCGCCTGTCAAATGATTTCGCGCGTAATTTTGCGTGTGATATCTTCAACTATAATTATTTTTTTAATTTTACTTTTTATTACAACCGTACCTACTTAATCTTTGTAGATCGGTAGAGAAGGTAGATGCTTGTTATGGGAAATGTTTTTTTTTTTAATATCATAAAGTGGCAAACGAGCGAGCTTCCACCTGAAATCGCTGAAATAACGAAGTGACCGTTGCCTATAGAGATATGCAATTGCATATGCGTTGCCTACCTTTAATCGATGGAAGGAGGAGGACGCATGGGAAGGGAAAATATTTTTTTCCCTTCCCATGCATCCTCTCAACCGGAAAGTCCACTTCCACTTCCCATCCTTTCCTTATAAGAAAAAGGGTGGGAAGGGAAACAGTACTAAATTAGACCTCCGGGACGCACACTCATCAGACGAAAGGCGGCATTGAGGCCTGTCTTCTGTGTGGTCGTGATATTTCACCGGGCGAGCCGGGACAATTAGTGCCAAGATGTTAAAGCGGGCTCTACCACTGTTTTCAGACAATACTCTGATGTAACTTAAGCTATAGCGCTCTGGGCGATATTTCTACGGCACTCTCTTTCACCTTTGGGAAGGGTTTATATGGACCACATTCCATCCAGCGCCATGGGGTGGCACCCAACCACGCTGTACTCTATTTTTTTATTAAATAAGGGGGCAGACGTACAGCGGGAATACTTGGGTGTTCAACGACGTTCATAGCCATCTGCAATACCAGAGAAATCGTAAATGCGTTCTACCAACCTGAAAATTATTAACAATTATATTTTGTCCTCAGAGTGGCAACACTGACAGGCTACGAGCCTCAGGATTTGATAGAGAAGACGCTCTACAACTTCATACACGGCACAGACGTTCTGCACATGAGATATTCGCACTGCACATGTAAGTATAGGAAACATAAAAATATGTACCGACATAAAACATACGACTATGTCAGTCATGTATGTCTGCAGGGACACGTTTATTTTGAGCAATCTGCGGAACGGTTGGACCAATTTTGACAGGACTTGTATGGGAAGGTAGATGATATTTTTTTAAGGTGACAAACGAGCGGCCACCTGAATTCTCTGAAAGTGAATCGACATCTACTGCTGCTACTACTGCGGAACCTACCTTTAATCGAAAGAGGAGACACAGAGAATTTCCTCTTCCTATACGTCATCTCTCAAATCATTCCTCTTCCCATACTTTTATTATAAGGGAAGGGAAAGAGGAGTAACATTATGCCACCGGAACGCACATTGGGATACTTTTTGGTGTTAATATTTTTTTTTTTTTAAATATTAGCAGATTTTTGTATCATTCCAAGTAAACTCTTATCTTATGCTAGGATATGGTTTACAATAATCGAATGTCGGGATTCGAACTCTCGACCACGTGATCGAAATCCGTACCTTTAACCATTAGGCTATTGGCGATCTAGTTAATTTGTCATCATCAGCTCACTTCCCACTGAGGTTTTCATAGCCTACCCTAAGTTAAAGTTGATAAAAATAAAGTTTAGATGGATGGATGTTTGAACTTAACTGCAGAAAGGCTGCATGGATCTCGCTGAAATTTGGCATAGATGTAGAGCATCGATCGAACACATAGGCTATTTATTAAGTTTGTGTTTAATTCCGCGCGGTCGGAGTCACGGGCGACAGCTAGTAATTACGATATTCTCTCCTACCAGTGTTGGCAAAGGGTCAAGTGACGTCACGCTACTATCGCTTCCTCACCAAGTCTGGAGGCTGGGTTTGGATGCAGAGTTATGCCACCATTGTACATAACTCCCGCTCTTCAAGACCTCATTGCATCGTCTCCGTTAACTACGTACTAAGGTGAATATAGAAACATATACTTATCCTCTTCCTTCTTATATAAAATATGTCCGTCTCTTTCTGACTTAGGTTTTACGTAATCATATTTCATACTATCATCTTATATATATAAAAGAAAGTGGTGTTAGTTACACTATTTATAACTCAAGAACGGTTTTACCGATATGCCTGAAAATTGGTGAGGAGGTAGCTTAGAGCCAGGAGACGGACATAGGATACTATTTATTCATTTCTGTTTCGAATTTATGCCTTGAAGAGCTGCTTTTTATTTAACTTATCTATATATTAAGTTTTTTTATATGTCCATACAGCTACAGCTGTTTAGATGGATGGATGTTTGTTAGAAGGTATCTCCAGAACGTCTCCACAGATGTTGATGAAATATGGCTTACATAAAGAGTACAGTCTGGAAGAACACATACGCTACTAATTATGTTTTTAATAGCGCGGACAAAGTCGCGGGCGACAGCTAATCTTATATATAAAATTCTAGTGTCACAATTTTCGTTCCCATACTCCTCCGAAACGGCTTGACCGATTCTCATAAAATTTTGTGAGCGTATTGAGTAAGTCTGAGAATCGGACAACGTCTATTTTTATTCCGCGTAGACGGAGTCGCGGGCGACAGCTAGTAGTTGAATAAAAAGTAATTATTGAAGTCCCAATATGATTTTATTTGTTACAGTGATATTGAAGAAAAACATTTGATACTAAATATAGATCAAGGTCCGCCAAAACTCAACACAGATGTACAAACACCGACACACATACCGACAAGCACGTCACCACACGTACACGCGAGAACCGACAAGGTCAACCATTTACTTAACGAAAGCGACTTCAGTACAGATTCAAGTGGCGGTTACAATTACCCTGAATATACACTTCCAGTGCCATACGAATCGCACGATGAATATCAAACACAGAACGGTCCTTATGAATTATTTTACAATGAAAATTATACGGAACCAGAAATATTACAAAACAATTATATATATCCCCAAAATCAACGACCATTTTCAGCAAGTTCATCAAGTTGCAGCTCAATTGAAAGTTCCGAAGTTACACAACAATATAATTATACGAATTTAATATCATTTTACGGTCATAATAGTCAAAATCAAAATGGCCGACCGATACAGAGTAATTTTGGTGGGAATTTCACTAAAATGACGCCCAGCCCTACAGTACAAGATGGCGGATATACGAGCGTGATTGTCGATAATACACAACAGTTTCATCATCATGGCAGTTCTGTTAATGAATTTGTACATTAAATTATTCATATTTAGTGTAAATTCAATTTAAATCGAAGTTCGAGTGATATTTTCTCACTTATAGAGATTTCTCTCTAACCTGAGTTTCTCGATTATTCGATTATGTTAAATTTTGTATACGGTATTTGAGTTGGCACGTGGATAACAAAGGAACTCTATTGCAAGACGTGCCAACTTAAGTGCCGATGTTTAATCGGCTTGTGGTTATACCAAATTATTATTGCATTTCTTGCCAATAGAATTTAAAATGTAAGCTTAGACGTTCTTGTACTTTTATTAAATTATGTTACTTTTTAGTAAATTAATTTTAATTACAGTAAATATTTAACATATAAAGACGATAATGAATGTAATAAGAAGTAAAAAAGGAAGAAATATTTTTTTTAACCTATAATTCTTAACTTATGACCAAATCTTCAAATAGTAGTTGAGGGTAAAGTTGGCACATCGATTACAAAGGTATCCTTGTTTCTAACGTGCCAACTCAAAACCCATTTACTAAATCTGACCGTGGAAAAAATGTCTTCACTTAAGTTCAAATATCTTGTAAATATTATATAAAGTTTGTGTGAACGTAAAATATTTTAAATTAAAAAAAAAAATTTTGGTCTTTAAAAATGTGATAAAAAAAAATTACGGGAGATAATGAGTAATAAAACGACAATTTCTTTTTAATAACATTTTCTTACCAAAAGTATTCATTTCTTGCCAAATGTAAATAATTTTGTAAATATTATACGTAAATTATTTAATTTCCTTAGATTTTATCACAAATTAGTACATGTTTATTATAAATATTTTAAGTATTAACTAAAAAAAGTCGCTTAAAATAAATGACGAGAAAAACTGATTTTAGCTCACTAGATGTCAGCACGGTCAAGAGTGACAAGTACTAAAACATACCACAGATGTAAAAAAAATACTTTATAAACAAAACACTCTATGGAATGTAGTCATAACACCGACTTCCGTCAAATTGCATTCAAAAAAAACTCAAAAATAATTATTTTAAAAAAATAGTTGATTAATTATTATAACAAAAAATGTTTTTTCCAGCTGTGGATTAATTCTGGCTTCGTATCTGTATTTTAAAATTCGACACAATCAATATGGAGTATTCCTTTTCAATATTTGTAATAAAAAAATTGCAAGAATGACGTATAACTTTGTCAGATGATAGAATATTCTCGGCGCTGGCGCCATCTACTTAAAACCTTTCAGTTTTTCTCCTCAATCCGTACATTTTAGTGTAACAATTCGCTCGTATAATCATTTAAAAAATAAGGCGACTTATGTTAAGTATATTTCTCGAATTTATGAATATTTAGTTTGGCATAGACCAAAATATCAAGCATAGACAATAATAGAATTAATAATGTAAATATTATCTAGTAAACTGATACATTGGACTTTAAATATTTCATTTGCGTAAAAAATACAATAATTTTAAAAGCTTTTATTTGGAATTCAGCCATTTTTGTAACGGTGATACTCCACTGTAATGACCTTTGCATGTGACGTGTGTAACAGCAGTGAAATCCTACGGTTATAAAAATAATTTTTTATATTTATTTGTGCCATTGTATCGGAGTGTACTAGTCTGTAAATAAATACATATACTTATTATATAAATCATAAGTACATAATGATAAAAATATATTAACTTACTATATAATCAAAAAATCTCATAGACATATATGTAGCATTTATGTACTTAGTTTTAAATCTTGTTTATAATTTAAGGCCTAAAATATCAACCAAAGCGCATATATTAAGATGATTAGGTTTTTTTTATTATTTGCAAATTTTTGTGGCAGAATAAACAAGTTGTCTTTGTCAAAATATGTATTAAGAATTTAAAAAGTAAAAGTTCATTCTAGCCTTTTCTAGCAAAACTATATTCCATTTGCTTGTAAAGGAATAACAAATCTTTGTTTTTGTCATCTATAGAGGTTATTATTAAGAGTTCTTGTGTGTTATTTTCATGTAGAAATTGGAACTTTGTAATATTTCGGCGCGTTTTGAACAAACAAATTGTGATATCCCAAACATATTATTTAATAATACAAAACGATTAAATGCAATGAAAAAATCGAATTAATGTCTTTCTTTTTAAATAAACATTGTCTTTATTATTTTTTAATTTATAATTTACTGTTTCTAGTATAAAGTAGACATCTCGTCGTCGATTCCAGTGATGAAAATACACAAATTTCTTATCTCTTGGGTTTTTGCTACTCAACGGTAGATGGCACTTGTATTCATTGACGTTTGTTAAAATTTGTTAAGGCGCCATCTATGTTAAATGTTTGTAACCTACACCTACTCATTCCACACTATAAACGGAAACCAATCAAATTTAAAAAAGTCGGAGCTCGTTGTTCCTTGTGGTTGTGTCCAGTGTTATTTCTATTTATTACTTTTGTAATAATTGTATTTAGAAGACAGTGAAGTTGGAGGAACTTTATCTACAATTGAAGAATATTCTCAACGTCGGCGCAATGGCTAACAGTACGTATTTTCCTTATTACTTGACTTATTCGCTGTTAACATTTCGATACTACCTTCTTTATGTTAGTGCATACGAAACATTTTTTATAAATTAAAGTTTACGTTAATTGGCAATGGCATATTTTTGCTGATCAATAATTCGTTTGAAATAATGATTGCAGATAACTCCTCATAAATATCACATATATTAGCAATTGGATACTTTTCTAGACTTACAGACGCTACAAATAAGTAATTAATTTAATTTACGTAATTTTATTTTCAGATTCTCAAATTATTAGTAAACAAAAAAATAATTCCACTCAAAACGATAGCAATATTTCTAAAGTTATATATAATAAGAGAAAACATTTCAACAAATCAGATTATCATAAAAGAAATGTCATCAAACTATCTCAATATTCCGGCAATGCTAATGTTTCTAAAAATTCCGATTCATATTTGGAAACAAATATAATAAAGTCGAGAAATAGTTCTTTATCTATGTATGATGATTTACCTTTATCTCAATCATCTGAACTGCATTTGGGTCAGAAATATGAAGATTACTCCCAATGTACAAGAGACATTGGTACAATGACCGAAGACAGAGACTCGGAATTAGAAAAACAGTGCAATGAATTGTTTGGAAGAATTGTCGCCTGTGAGATTTCTAATATAAAAGGTAGTGATAGGTTTAATAAAATGAAAGAAATACTTGATGTTCTACAAAAGATTAAGTTGTAAAGTTTACTTTGACATTTTACATAGTTTTTTTTGTTTTTTAAAGCCTCATGCTAAAGCATTGAACAATGAAGACTGATTTTTAATTAATTTATCATAGTATATGTGTAATCTTTTTACCCTAAGGTATCTTTAGAAGTCCGTACCCCGAAAGGAAATAACAACTCATAACTTTAACTAACTTTGTTGTCAGTCCGTCTGTCTATCAAGACAATTTTTTTATTAAGACTAGAAGGATTATTGCTCTGATTTCTAACCTAATTTTGATTAAATATTTCCTATTTCTAATATTATTAAAAAAAAGGAAATTATTATACAAGTTTGGGTTTTATAATATAAAACAGCACTTATTATTAAAAAGTTTGGACAAAGTAAAAGATAAAAACTACCTTATAGTAAGTTATAAGGTTATTTTTTAAAAAAGAATTTTCAATATGTCTTTAAGTTGACAACTCAAGAAATTTAGGAATAAAAGTAATTTAGGGCATGTTTATACCCTATTTAAATTATATATTATTAATTATTATTGTTCATTTATTAACTTATTCTTAATATGTTACATTTCGTATATAAAATAAGAAATGATACAAAATATATTTTATTAAAAAAAGAGCACCACCAGGCTGCGGAATCCCATGACTCAAACAACCAGTGGTCAGGGCTGTAGACAGGAACCTTCTCACGATGCCTGCGGTTTCTAGTATAACTAGCTTTTGTATCAAGCCCTTAATTATTAATATATTATTAACTTGATTTTGCAGATTGTCTCAATTAATATATTATTTAAAAAGATTTTAATTTCTAATATCATGATAGATATTATAGATTAAAATTAAATTGTTGATTTTTATGATTGTTAAATTATTTTTTAAAAACATTACTGTGTTTATTAAATGTATTTGATTATTTTATTGTTTTAATTCCTATTGTCCATATAAAGATAGTACAAAGGTTTTTTTTTACAATGTGTATCTCGGATCCATTGTAAAACACAAACAGTCTTGAGGGTAATTATTAAGTTTATTCAAAATTAACACTAAAACTTTGTAAGTAAATGTTTTAAAATGTAACAAAAACGCAAATTAATATTTTCAAAGGAAGGTTTGTAAATATTGTAGTTATACCATCGTCTTATTAAGACTTACTAATATAAAGGCGTAGGTTTGGATATTTGTTAGAAGTTTACTCTGGAACAGCTTCATGGATCTCGATGAAGTTTTGCATAGATGTAGAACATAGTCGGAAAGAACACATAGGCTACTAAGTCTGTAATTGCACCCAAAGTCGCGAGCCACAGGTATAGTGCCTATTTAAGAGAGATTAATTTGACAACTGACGCCTATAAAGTATTGAATTTATTTTGTATCAGATTTAATGTTGTTCCTTTTGGATGCTTGTCATAGTGTCGAACCGTACATATATTAGAAGCAACTATGAACTATCGAGAATAAATACTGTAATTTAGGTATTTAATTACTATTTTAATTTACTACAAATTCTTTATAAAACAGTTTATTCATTTCTCGACATCTCAATTTTAGGTTGAATATTTTATTTTTCTAAATAGTTTTAAGTTGGGATATAAAGAAACAATTCCATTTATATTGCAAGTTCTATAAAAACAACTATCGAAAATCGGACATTTTTATAACCGACTTTAATCAACCCATATCTAGGGAATTGTCAAATTAATCTATCTTAAATAGACACACTATAGTAATAAATATGACAATTGTCAATTTAAATTTCTCAAAATGTCACTGAATTTAAATTTTATATAGTACCTTGGTACAATTTTAATAGGAAGGGTAAGGTCAACAAAAAACATATAACTTTAAACACATTTATTGTTCACTAGTCGAGCTCAAACTCAATAATATCCAGGTCTCCATCACTGTCGCTCATGTTGTTCTCCGCCGGCTGGAACAACAAACATAATATGAAAACCTCATTATTGTTATAACGTAAGGTGGGTAACAAAATATAATTCGCTAAAATGGCGACGTAACAAGCTTTGCTTATCTCCAAATTAACATGTAGACGGGATGCACAAAAGAGGATACAGTATAATCTAACTAAACCAACACTTCGATCGATACGTCCAATAATCCGGCACCATCCGCCAATTTCTCTCTCGCCCCTTCATACATGTGCGCTTCGGTCTAACCTCAAAACATAAATTTTCAATTGGTAATTTTTTACAGTTCAAAATTCACTAGATTTAAATAATAAAATTAAATTTACCAATAACTTTTCACTGTAATCCAGTAATCCGATCATTCCAATAATCCGGCAACGGTTTTTAATAGTGCTGGATTAGTGAGATTTTACTGTATTTCTTTCTTTGCATCATATTCCACCAAATGGTATCTCCTCCTCCTATCCTTTTCTTACAAGTGGATTTGGCAGAGGAACTCAGAAGGGGAAATATTCAACGCTTCTGCATTGCAGATGTCTATGCTTCGCTATTTCGGCGAACTCCATTGGCCGCTCGCGCGTTTACCATCTTATTTACTAATATTATAAATGCGAAAATTTAGATGAATGTTTGTAGGAAGGTATCTCCAGAACGGCTCAACGAATTTTAATGAAATTTGGCACACATATAGAACATAATCTGATAAACACACAGACTACTAATTATTTTTTTAAATTCAACGGGGACGGAGTCACAGGCTACAGCTAGTATATGGAAAATAGCATTATGTATGTTACCCGTCTGCGCGTGCGCATTGGTCGTCTGGGGCGCACGTCGTCTGCATCATCAGCGGAGTCGTCACCACTGCTGCCGCCCTCAGCGAGACCCATCACTGCATTCCTCAACAAACTTGTCGCTACTGAAAATATAATTAATAAATAAAAAAAAATATAGCCAGATATTTAGTTAAAAATGCTTTTTTAACCTTTTGAACGCCGGTAAAGGATATCGATGGATAGATGGATATTTGTTAGAAGATATCTCCGGAACTGCTGTATAGATCTTAATGAAAATTGGCATACATATAGAACATAGTCTGGAAGAAGACATAGACTATTAAGTTTTTTTTTTAAATTCCGCGCGGACGGAATCACGGGCGACAACTATTTACATATATATTTATAGTCGTTAAAATTTATTTTAATGGAATTTTGATAACTAGAACTTAATGTACAGAAGTGCCTAAATATAATTTGAATACATATTTTTTATAATAAATTTTCGATGACCAGAGTTGAGACGATATTGTCTATGGTATATATGAATACTAACAATCATCTTCGTTGTCGGATCCGGAGTCTGAGCCGTCGTCGTTGTCGGTCCCTCCCGCCATGTCTTCCTCGTCGTCCTCCTCCTATATATAATACAGTACATTAAAAAAACTAATATCATAGAAAAAAGTAGAGAATTGGATAAGCAAGAAACCTCTGAATGATTCTAGCTAATAATGTCCAAAAGTATGTATTTTTAGACATTGACATTACATATTGATAATAAGAAAATCCGACAGTGTGCCGGTGTACTGGCACAACACTAGCCTTACTAAAATATCAACGTTTATGTCCCCTCACTAATCATTCTGACACTTCACTTTGCAACGAAGGCATGACATTCGCGACAGAGTATTTTAATTAATAAATACCTAAAAATATATGCACGTATGTATGTGGGTGCGTGTGTGTATGCATGTGTGTTTATGTACGTGTGTGTGTGTGTATATGTATGTGTGTGTGTGTGTACTGACCGCGTCATCATCGTGGTCCCGCTTTCTTCCAACGTCGTATAGTTTGACACATGACTCCTGCACTTGCTCAAAGTCCCCCATGTTCTCGACCAGAGATATCTGCGTACCATAACGCGACACGCCCAGAGAGTAGATGTTCCGTTTCACGTCTATGGTAGCTGTAAAGTCATACATGTATGAATGAATTTGTCGAATGTATGGATGGATGTTAGAAAGTATTTCCAGAATAACTTAAGAAATCTTGATGAAATTTGGAGTACATATAGAACATAGTCTGGAAGAACACATAGGATACTAATTTGTTAACTAACCGTGGTTTTCTGGGACCAAAATATTTGTGAACATATTGTCATTTTTGTCTTTCATTCATGTATTGGGGAAAATTCTTAACAAGGATACAAGGTTATGTGGGTTCTTACACACTAACACCCCCACATAATGTCTCCCTGGGGGGGG